CGTTACCCGCGGGTAAGGGAAGGCTGAATTTAAATTTGCCACGTCACCCGTTGGCGGGGAACACTACACCAAAATTTCAGCCGCTTAGCTTTTGTGGTTCCCGAGTTGAAAGTGCCAGACAAAATATGGGACACAGACACACAGACAACCCCGTGACAATATGCGTTTTGTAACGCTGTTACACAACATAAAACGCATAATAATTTCATTTTTTTAGGACAATTTCTAATACAATTGCTTAAAAATAAGAACTACAAAACTATAAAAATTAGAAGACTATAAATGAGAAAACTGCAGAATCTGACTAAGTCGGTCGGCAATCTTCTGCTGAACCAGGAGAGTTTTTCTGCGGGCGTTTTCATCATATGCTTTACTAGCCAGTTGCATACCTGTTGATTTCTGCTGTGTCACGCGACTGTTATTGGATCACTTTTCATCTTTTTTGTAAAACAGTACCACTCATTTTGCTTTTCTTAAAAACTTTGATTGTACAATGGATGTACTCGTTTGCAAACAGTAGTACTTTCAAGTCAATAAGGTACTTCATTAGTGATCTGAGAATGGCAGCGTTCGAGATGAAATGATCTTTCTGAAAAAGAAAGTCTTTTCTTTTGCTTTCGGCGGAAAAACCGACTGAAATGGAAATGATATTAAGAAACTAAACGAATGTCAGCAACACCGGCTGGTTGACAATCAGATAAAGCAGCACTTATCAAAGCAGCTGAAAAAGCAGTTAAAAAGCCAGATTGTGAATTAACAGATGATCAAGGTCCAATAGCAAGACCGACCGACTGCACATCACTGTGGGTATCTCACATCAGTGTGTTACTGGTAAGTTCCTTCAAGCTGGAGCAGCTGTGTTAATACTCGTCACCCTGATGATGATCAAATTGCAGTAGTAAAAAAATATTAAATTAGGATTTATTTACACAGAAATGTGTGCATACTACATTTTCTATATGCATTACGGCGTGCATTTGCAGCTTGGCTTCGAATACAAATGGCTGCCTTACAAAAGTGTTAGAGATGGCACCGGAGCATTTAAGCCGGTTCACGTTGGTGATTGTATCCCTTGTGTACTGAAAACTTCGAAAGGCTCGGAACTGCTCGGGAATTTGCATACGAAAATGGAGAAGGCAACAGCCGGTTATTGTGGCAAGGATGCGGCAGTCACTGGCCCGGCTGTGAATGAATTTGAAGTGCTCTGCCGAAACGGGTTCAAAAAGAGCTAAATTTTCTGGAACTGAATGATACTGAGATAACCGTGCATTCGTAACTGCAGTGACACTGTGATTGACATCAATTTCGTTTCGCTGTGCTGAAACGAAGTTTTAATGTGACACAAAGAAAAAAAGTGACTGAATTCCTTGGACGCTTTTCCAGAACGAGAGATGGCTGCGTCGTT